ATTTTAACTGAGAGTAGGTTTGGGGGTCAAAGAGATTTGGTTTTAAATCCTAAATCTGCTGCGTTCCAGCAGTGTGATCTCAGGCCAGTCTCATGACTTCAGTGCCTCCTTAGAACAATGGCCAAGATTGTGAATATAAAATAAAACAGAAAGTAAAGTATTTGGCACATAAAAACAGGAAAAATTAGCTATACATTTTATTGTGATTTTTTTATTCCTGGTATTGGAGCTCAGTACCCCTGGGCAGCTTTCTTTTTTTTTTTTTTTATGCATAAATAGGGCACCAAGAGCAAGAAACAGAGCTGAACAGAGACTAGAGGACATTTCATGGAGGGCAAATGTGAGCAGAGACCTAGAAAGGGATACACAAGGCCTGAGCAATTCTTGTAAGTGGAAAAGCCAAAGGGTAGAGAGTATGTTTTTTAACATCAAAAGCCTCAAACATAGGCAAAGAAGTAACTGTACTCCTTGGTAACACTGACCAAGACAATACATTATCATAAATGGGTTTGCAGACACCTTACTCAAAGCCCATATTTCTCTGTCTTGTACTCCCCAAACACATTCACTAGTACAAGCCTCTGTGCTGGGGAATGCTGCTACAGAAGGATTAGATTAAAGCAGTAATGCAAGGAAGAAAATCAGGCCAGACCACATTTCCATATTAAAATTTAGAATACAAATTTTAGTGCTTTCAATGCGCTGGGGCACAGAGAAGTTGTTTAAGCACTCTGTCCCAGTCAAAATGGATTTTACTTTATTCCACCTAGAAGAGAACCTGGCCTTGTTTAAACACCTAAAAAAAATCTACGGGCTCAAGAATATTGTGATTCTTCACATTCCTGTGTTTGAATCATCAGGCACTAAGTATTTGATATCAAAAACTCTAAATAAGTTTTTGATAAATGAGGGCAGCAATGAATAACCCAAACACTCATATTGCCAGACCTTGGACATTTTGTGAATACGTGCACATGGCAAGTCAGTGTAGAGTATGTCAGGCTTTCTCAAATGTGTGAGCCTTCAGTGAGGTCTGAGCTTTCTTCAGTATCCAGTAATCCTATCTTCGTGGATTAAGTCCAGCTTCCCAGATCAATTTCCGACTGGGCGCTTTATGTGAGAATCCAGCACTGTCCCCTTAGAAGCAATCTGGAATTCTGAGGAGCCCAGAACATTTATAATTTCTCTCAAGGGAGACACTTCCCAGCAGCATAGTCCCAGAAGAAGATACACATCCATGGGCCTACCCCTGGTTTTAGGAGGGCTTCTCCAGTTAAACTTTGAGAAAGAAGGTTAAAAAAACAAAAACAAAAACAGAGAAGCCCAGCGGTCTTCATCTCAGGGCCTCCCTGCTTAGTAATCTTCCCAACAGGGGCTATACAACCTTCTTTGCTGGTTGCTTATTTCTCTGAGTATTATGCCTGGAGATTCCTTCTAAAAAAACGTATCCCAAACCTAGGCTGACTAGGTTTCTGTCATTAGAAAGTCCAGGGAGCCCTCAGACAGCAGAAACCTGGTGTTTTGAGGGATGCCTCAGAGCTTTGCCCCTGCTGATCCTGGCAGCACTTATGGCTGGAGATTGCAGTTGGATACAAAGAGAGCCATTTGAGAATGTTTGCACCTTATCATTTCCAAGGAATCTCTGCTCTTGAGACAACCAGTGCTCTCAACTGTCTGTCAAGTTCAAGAACTTTTTATCTTAAGCATATCTGAGTGTTAGGGCTGAGGAAACTAAAGGAAACTCACCACAAGAGACTACCTGTAGGGCTCAACTTTCCCCATGGTTGTGTCTTTTCTTCTACTCTTTCGTACCATGTCAGTCTGGGGACATAACTGGTCCTCTTCCTGTAGAGCTGGCTCTTAAAGTACTTTGTAATTCTGGCCTGGAGCTGCTGGGAGGTCTCTGTTTCAGTGAAACCACTGCTTCATGGTGAATCAGTCACTTCCTCCAGGCTGCCTTCTTTCTTTCCTGCTATGAGGTCAGGGACACTGCCATTTGGGGACAGTCTGGGCTTTAATCTATATTTTATCTGGCATGGGAGACTGAATGGACACTCCAGCCTGAACAAATAGACCCAAGGGGATTGTTGAAGATGACACTTGGAAGGGATTTTAGTTCTTTATTATAAACTGGTTTATGAAATATATTTTATCCTCCTACCTTGACAAATATACCCTTATAGTGACAAAAAGCAAAGGATATATGTGAAGTTATAGTTTTTGTATGTCTGAGGGCTCGCAAAATGTCTGCTAAAGTTATTGCACACATCTGGCTCTTCTGTCTATGGGTCATGATAGCTAAATGAGTAATAAAGGGTTTACATAACTTATAGATTTGTATTTGTTCCATCAATTAAGCTTTCTTGCCTTTATTTCAGAAAAATTACTTTGTTATTATAATCAATATGCTTACATACTTTGTTTTCAACTCATTGTAATTCTCTGAAGGCTTAGAAACTGCAATTATATTGAAAGTATATGTAAACATATTTTAATGAGAATATATAAATTAAATACAAAAATAAAATCTAACAGTTATTTTATGTTTCTAAAAGTCTTTTAAAATATTCAAAATAATCTATTAACTTTAAAAGGTATAATTCAAGTTATAGTTAATATATGCCAAAATTTTATTTCATATATTAACATTTTAATTAAATTGTTATTTTTATAGAGATAACACTGTAAACATTCTATGTCCACCTAGTTACCAATATAAAGGATTGGTACCATGATACACATATGATACATGGATGCAAATTTAGGGTAATGTGAAATGCTAATATTACAAAATGTTCCTAAATCACCACCTGCAACTTTTCTGAATTTTATGCTAATGGAGTAGCATGGGAACCAGGAATTTAAAGAAGAAAAGAAGCGTGAAAAAGGATTCTTGGCATTATTGAGAAATGACACTGTTGTAAAAGCATCTATTGCATTTATGTTACCTTCAGGGAGGAATTTGATAAGTCTGGTTATTCTCATAACCCAGCACTCTTTTTCTCTTACATCCTCCAAATATTCTAAAGCAACATCATCATAATTCCTGATTTTTATCAGCTTTCAAATTAGGCCACCTTTTCTTTTAAGGATACTGGGAAGGAATATAGAGGTCCATTTCCCTAGGACCTGAAGAGAGTGGTCATGACTATTATAGACTATACTGGGCCAGCTCTGGGTGCCACATCCTGAGTGATAAAGGCATCTGTGTGTTCTTTAATATATTTATTTGTGGGTGAGTGTGGTATGTGAGATGAGAAAACTGAGGTACAAATGTTAAGTAAGTTGGCCAAGAAAAGAGAGTAAGTGGCAATGTGGCATGGAATCACTGGCAGAATAGGTCCAGAGGTTATGCCCTACAGAGTGTACTCATATTAGCCACTGAGAACATTCTCCTTCCTGCCTGTGTTCCCCGCTCAGAAAGGAATCTGAAAATCTTATGCCTGTTTTCAACTTCATCTTCACCACAATTTCTTTAACTTTCTATAGAGTGAAGTTCTTTCTCAAAGGCATATTAAACTATAGCATCTCTCTAACTGTGAGGATGAATGAGCAGTTCTTCATGTGAACCAGAGAAGAGAGCCAGAAACCATAAGGTAAAATGCTAAGTGTGGCTACCTGTGCTTCACTCTAAGTCAGTAAATATCTGAAGAGAATCACAGGCATGGCTTTATGAATTTGAATTATCTGTGTATGTATAAACCTTGTTGATTCCGACTCCACTGGAAAGTATAAATACATCAGTGACATAACCATTATGAACAGAAAGGGCATGGCCACAAGGAGATGCAGAAGCCAGCATGGAACTAACAAGGAGTTATTCCACTCACTTACCAAAAAGTGCCTCCCAAATCCTAACTCTTCCAAATGACTCAATTTCATTGGCCTCACTGGGTGCCTTAAAAGTCCTGTCACCATATAGAAAAGTTACTCATTATATCTTTGTTCCATTGCCTTGCCCACTTCTTTTTTCTTGAGGTGGAGCTGTAAATATTAGATTTCATGATTCAAGTTTCTGGAATCCAACTTTCTAAATTGTCTTACCCTGGTGGAAATGGGAACACCATAACCCACAGTCAGCTGTTATTCCTACTGAGACTGACAAAAAGCATTTATTAAGTGCCTCATAGTATATAGCACTGACCTGGGTGCTGCCAAAGTGTCAGGCCTGTGCACTATACCATGTTCAGCTCAAACATACTTTGAGGTCCTCCAAACACACAGCTAAGTAAATGCTTTGCCAACTTTGAATTTGCCACCAAATTACTTGCAAGACAAGGTCATTGCTTGTTAAGTCTAGGCACAATTTTTTAAAAGTCAGAATGACCAGTGTTAACCCATTACCAACTGTGTTGATTGCTACTCTAACAAATCACCATAAACTTAGTGGCTTAAAACAAGACGAATTGATTCTCTTACAGTTCTGGAGGTCAGAAGCCTAAAACATGGGTGTTAGCAAGACTGCATTCCTTCTCAAGGCTTCAGGGGGTTCCTTGACCTTTTCAGCTTCCCTCAATGCCTCCAGCCTCTTACTTTGATCTCCCCCATTCCTCCTACTCACTCTGAGCTTCCTGCTTCCATTTATGAAGACCCTTATGATTGCTTTGGGCCCACCTAGATAAACCAAGCTACTCTTCTCATCTCTACATTCTTAATCACATCTGCAAAATCTCTTTTACTCTGTAAGCCAACATATTAACAATGTACAGGGATTACAATGTGGATTTTTTTGTGGGGGGTGAGGGGACATTGTTTAGCTTACCACAGCCACAAAGGTTTTTCAGATATGTGATAAGTCGTATAACACTTTATTCTAAAAATCATTATATCTGGACCAGGGAAGCATTGAAAGAAAGGAAAATATCACATGTAAAGATGACAGTTGAGAATGTCACAATGTTGTTTGTCTTTAGTTTTAGTATCTAGTGTCAACGGCTTAGAGAGTTAACTTTGTTTTCTACCTTTTTTTTTTTTTTCCCTCTTGTGGCTGTCATCTGCTTACCTGCAGACCCAGGCTCACTCTGTGGTCACTCTGAAGTTGGGCATCTCTAAGTTTTCCTGCTGCTTTGCAAAGGCTGGATGCTTACTCTCACAGATCCAGGGTCCTCTGGCCTGCTGAGCTGGGCTTCTCATGCAGAGTCTCTTCCCCCTTTTTATGCCATGCTTTCTTTTCACTTTTCCTCCTTGTACAGCAAACACTGCACAAATGTTGGGGTTCTATGAGAAGTTGAAGGCATTATCCTAGACCTTCCAGGCTGGCAGGAGGGGAGGAGGTGGGCTGTTCTACCTGGCCCTGTGTCTTCTCATTACTGGATTTTAAGCTGCCTCCTTGAGTGAGGTAGGGAAATAAAAGCAGCGAAAGTGCAGGGGCTTCTTTCTGCTCAGCAGATCACCCCTCTCCCCAATCCTCAGGCCTCTTGTTAATAATTCCACTCCCTGGTTACCAGCTACCCAGCCTAGGTGGCACTAATTCTTGTCCCCAGCACAAGGGGACTTGCTAGCCTTGGTATACGATAATAGTTTTTGAAATAAAAACTACATATGAGGCAACTTGCAAATTTAAACTTTTCTGGGATGGGTGTGTAGTTGCAGGAGGAGTTCTCCCTTAAACAAAGGCACATTTTCCAGTTACACTAGTTAAACAGGTTCTCATACCAAATATCCCAATGAAGAGTTCTTCTCCTGTGCCCCTGGGAAGGGAGGCTCCTGAAAAGCACTGTGTGCATGCCTATACTTGCCTTATGTTCTTAGGACCACATTCCCACCATTCAACAGGCAGAATTTAGCAAGGATGCCAGCAGGGATTTTGATGTGTGCATGCAACTATTTGAAGAAACCAGGTCCAACCCTGGTAAAAACAACAACCTTCATCTGCACAACCTATTCTAGATTGTAAGATTAGGACTAGGGAGAGACCAGTTAAGTTACTAACCACAGGTGTAAATTTTAAGGGAGTATCACATAGTAATCAATTAATGAAGAAAATAATATTTTGATGGAAGCACTTTTTAAAAATAAAAATGCAGTTTACGTTGCTTATAGATCTAGCTGCTGCTTTCCCCAGCTCCAGCTCCAAGATGGGGAAATCCTTCGCCAACTTCATGTGCAAGAAGGACTTTCATCCTGCCTCCAAATCCAACATCAAAAAAGTATGGATGGCAGAACAGAAAATATCATATGATAAGAAGAAACAAGAAGAATTAATGCAGCAATATCTTAAAGAACAAGAATCATATGATAACAGATTGCTTATGGGAGATGAACGTGTAAAGAATGGCTTTAATTTCATGTATGAAGCCCCACCAGGAGCTAAAAAAGAAAACAAAGAGAAAGAAGAAACAGAGGGAGAGACTGAATACAAATTTGAATGGCAGAAAGGAGCCCCACAAGAAAAATATGCCAAAGATGACATGAACATCAGAGATCAACCCTTTGGTATTCAGGTTCGAAATGTGAGGTGCATTAAATGTCACAAATGGGGTCATGTTAACACAGATCGAGAATGTCCTTTGTTTGGTCTTTCTGGAATCAATGCAAGTTCGGTTCCCACTGATGGCTCAGGGCCATCGATGCACCCCTCGGAGCTAATAGCGGAGATGAGAAACAGTGGGTTTGCACTAAAACGAAATGTACTGGGGAGAAACTTGACCGCAAATGATCCATCACAGGAGTATGTTGCAAGTGAGGGTGAAGAAGATCCAGAAGTTGAATTTTTAAAGTCACTAACAACCAAACAAAAACAGAAACTTCTCAGGAAATTAGATCGACTGGAGAAGAAAAAAAAAAAAAAGATAGAAAAAAGAAGAAAAAGCTTCAGAAGAGCAGAAGTAAACACAAAAAACATAAATCCTCTTCTTCTTCCTCTACTGAGACTTCAGAAAGCAGTAGTGAGAGTGAGAGTGACAATAAAGAAAAAAAAATAGAAAGGAAGAAAAGAAAGAAAAGCAGGTGTTCAGGGCAGAACAGCAGTGATTCTGAAGAGAAGTCTAAGAAGAGAAAACTTCATGAAGAACTTTCCAGCAGTCACCATAACAAGGAAAAGCCCAGGTTCTTAGAACATGGGAGTTCTAGGGAGAACAGCAAACGGAGCCATTCCGATTCTGACAAAAAGTCCAGAAGCCGTAATCATAGCCCAGAGAAGAGAGGCTCTGAAAGAAATGAGGGGAGTGGCAGAAGCCACGGCAGGGATGAAAGGAGCAGGAGAAGCCGGAGCAGAAGTCCTGGTAGTTATAAGCAAAAGGAGTTAAGAAAATGGCCACAGCGAAGTCCCGCAGAAGAGCAAAGTAGAAGAAATGACACCAGCAGCCATGGCATAGATGTATACAGAGGGGAAAAAATGTACAGAGAGCACCCAGGAGATAAGCATGCTAAAGTGACACAAAGAGAATGAAGCAGAAGTAGAAAGAGAATAAAGACTGTATGTGACAGTTACCTGGGAATAAAATATCTCCACATTTTTATTGAATACATTTAGCAAGGGCTAAATTATGTACTATTGTCTTTCTAATAAAAAAAAAACCTCAACTTTAATTTTTCATCTCTGTAAACTGTCAATTCAAATACAAAACTACATGAGTACCATAAGAACAGATTTTGCAAATATTTGTAAGTAAGCTATTTTGGGACTGTAGAAATATTTTCTGTTGGTAACTTTCTTGTGCCATATACCAGATAAAAACCTCATAAAACTCTGTGACATTTTCTTTGTTCTGAAACATCATTAAAAGAATGACAGTAAAAAAAAATAAATAAATAAAATAAAAATAAAAATAAAAATGCAAAAACATCTACAGTAAACACATCACATTTTAAAATACATATAAGTAACAATGCCATGCTATACTGTTTGAGGCAAAAAGAAAAAAATCAGTAACACTAACCTAAAACATCACAAGTGTTGATGCATTGTTCATTAGTCTTTTATGCGTTAATTTTTATTTTAAAATATTGCATAAAAATATTATTTATCTTGATTATGAGTTTTTTGGGACCCCCTTTAATTTTATGCCCCAAGGTGAGTGGCCTACTTACCTCACTCTAGTGTCAGCCATGTAGTACAGAGGACGGTTTTGAGGCTTTAACTCATTTGAGACTCACGACTATTCTCTAAGGTGGACAATACAAGGCAAGTATTCTTAGCTGCATTTGACTGTAAAGGAATTAAATTCCAAAACAAGAGGCACGAATTGCCCAGGATACATGGCACATGGTGAAGACAAGACTAAAAATTAGGCCTGCTAACTCTGAATCTGGGAATCCTTCCATGATACCAGAGAGTCTCAATTTCCAATGTACCAAAAAATAATCAGGAGAGTTATTAAAATTCAGAGTTCTGAGTCCCAACCACTGAACTATGATTCAGAAGGTCTGGGGTGGAATGCAAGAGTCTACATTTCATTTAACAATCACACTAGCTGATTTTGACATCAATGAGCTACCACCAGTTGGGGCAACTCTGTAAGGACTCCAGGCAGATGTCCCCAAGCTATGACTGCAAGAGCTTGATATTCTTATCATTCAATTTCCCTTTGTAATAAGACATCTGTACTTCATGTGGGTTAAAATATTATTGTATCTAGTAAGAGTAACCTCAGCTAATTAACAAATAGCAAACATCAACCCATCATCCCTAATGTTAACCAAAAGAGAGCATGGTCTTCTTAATCTGCAAGATCAATGTACTATAAGGCATGACAGAAGAAGAAAAATCTGAAAAATGAGGGACCACTCCAATTAGATGGGAGTCCTTGAGCAATCATGGGTCTGCTTGTGGGCACCAGGCATGTGGGATGAATACCCCAACAAGAAAGGGAAAGGGACTTCAAAGACAAACTTGGTCTACTTAATAATTTCTCTTATACTTGTTAAAAATGAGAAGTTAATTCTTTCTGTCAGGGCAGTTTCTAAATCTGGATCAAGTAAGAGAAGGAGTTAGAAGAATAATTAGTACCTTTACCTTAATGCTTACGGAAATGGTACCTTAAGTTGACAATGCAATACTAGGACCATGACGGCATAAGAGAAATTTGAGTGGAATATGTGACTACAATGCAAGCAACTTGAGAAAGAATCTTGTCAATGCTGCCAGGGAAGCCTTTCTGCTTGAGGTCAGATGCATGAAAATGAAGCAAACAAAGAAAAATATTTAAATTGGATTCTTAAACCATTTATCTCTGAAAAAATAACATCTAATATTTTCTTTTCTATCAACTGCTAGCCATGTGGATTTTACCAAGGCTTTTCATCAAGGGGCACAGTTTTCAGTTACCCCATCCTTAGCGGTTACTGTAGCCTCACATAGCTTGATTCTGGCAAAGAGCATAATTCCATGCCAGAATGAAATGTATTGGCCTGCTTTGTTCTTCAGGCTGTGGGTAAAAGAAGTGGCAAATGGAGCCAGTTTTCTAATCACTGAAGTGAAAAGAAGCTGGCCTCAATGAAGTTTTCATCTCAGGTGTTCAGATTGCCCTCCTTCTCTGCCTTCTGGGATATGGGTACAGATACAATCTTAATGTAGAGTTTGGGTTGCTATAGAACTGAATAGCAACAAAATTGTCAGGGCCGCCTGCACATTTGAAAACTGTGTGTCTTCAAAAATTGCACTTGAAAGATGATTGATTGGTAACATACCTCTAAGCAACACCAAGCATGATACTGAGGTTTCCAGATGTACTGTCACAGTGCTGCCAGGAGAATGCATGAACACTCTTCCCTTACTTTCTAAAATATGCCTGCCTATTGCTTTGCTCCATTCCTGTTCACTGATTATTTTCCAACACTTCCTGGATCCCCTATCAACCAGAACAATGGTTCTCAAACATTAGTGGCATCAGAATGACCTGGAGTGCTTGTTAAGTGACAAATTGCTGCATCCTACTCTTAGAATTTTCAATTTGGGAAGCCTGTGTGGGTCCAGAGAATTTTCATTTGTGCTAAGTTCCCAGTTGATGCTGATGCTAATAGACTGAAAGCCACCAATCTAGAGTGATGGTCCTAAAACATTAGAATCACCTAAGGAGCTTTCATAAAAATACTGATGCCCAGGTTTACCCCCAGCCAATTAAATCAGACTGTTCAAAGATGGAGCCTGTATTAGTTTGCTAGGGTTGCTGTAATAAATTATCTCAAACAGAGTGGCTTAAAACAACAGAAATCTGTTCTCTCATAGTTCTGGAGGCTAGAAGTACCAAGTCAAAGTGTTGGCAGGCCACTACCCTCAAAGACTCCTGGGAGGGGACTGCTTGTAGCTCTAGCTGTGGCCAGCAATGTGTGGCTTTCCTTGGTTTGTAAGTATACCACTTCAGTCTCTGCCTCCATCTTCACATGCACATGGCCTGTGTATATCTATGTCTTTGTGCCCTCTCCTCTTTTCATATGGATGACAATGACTGGACTTACATCTTATCCTAATCCAGTACTGTATGACCTTTTCTTAATGTATGCCTCAATTACATCTGCAAAAAGCCTATTTCTGAGTAAAGTCACATTCTGAGGTTCTGGGTGGACATGAATTGTTCAGGGCTTTGTGAGGGGATGCTGTTTGATCCTGCACAGAACCCTGACTTTGGCTTTAAGATCCTTGAGGGCCAGATCCACACAATGGCATGAAAAAAACTTTCTTGAATGAAGGAGGCTGTATACTCTCTACATTCAATTCACAGTCATCACAACGTAATAGATGACAAACACTCCTCATTTGCCTTAAAAGCTTGTTAAACTTACTGCAGATTCCAAGGACTTTAAAGTGTTCATCTGTCTGACTAATTCAGCTCTAAATTAAAGACCTTTTCCTTAAACAACAAAAGATATTGAAGGTATTTCTTTGTAGAAAGATCTGTATTCTGTTCCTCAGGGCATTTTATAGGGAACATACCTATAAAGAGCCCAGATTACACACTTCTGAGAGCTTTTAATGATAAGAAACAATGTTTTTGAACTTCCCATTATGAACTAGAAATAATATTTTCACATAAAACAAAAATGCTAAATTACTTAACTACCTCCCTAGAGCTTTGAGTTTTGTACAGTGTAAATGATTGTTTTCCAGGAATTAAGAATACAGCGGTGTCTCTTTAAAATGCTTGGGATGTAAAGCAGGAGGCAGGATGCCTATTGTCTGAATTTCAGTTGGAGAGGTGATTATTCATGGGGTCAGCAGTGGGGGTGACTAACATGCAAGCCACAAGCCCAATCCAAATGTGTTCACATTGGAAAGCATGATATGTATTGTCAGTCAGTTGGAAATCGGAGCAAGTAAGGTTTATTTTGGATGAGGTGGCATCTGAGGGTCACAATCAAAATTGTCCAGATGGCTTTATTTTGGATCCATTATGCCAATATCAGATATAGAGGTGGTTTGTGGAGGTTTTTTGAAGACTGATCTGTGACCCCCTGGAGTGGCAGTGGTTACAATAAGACATTAAACTGAACTCGGAATTAGGAACCCTGGATTCTGGCCTCAGCTCCAGCACACGGGAACTCTGAGATTACTGCGGTTTTTAAGTATACTGATGTTTGGTATACAAATGTAATGAACGTCTAAATTCATGTATCCTGCTTTGCATTGCTGCATCTGCTTTACAGAGGTATCTCTTTATTTCTTTTAAAGCAGAGAAATTTGGTCACTTATTTAGATTTTTGGAAGTATTTTTCTCATCAGTGGATTCTGGCTTTGACATCCTTTTTGATTAAAACAAAATTCCTTCTTATATTAACCAGGAACATGATAATGTTTAGAAGTTATGAAAACATCTAAGTGTTTTTGTGACTTTTATGATATTTTAAAAATCCTTTCTAACCACACGCTAATAGTTATGATAATTTCCAGTTTTAATTTTTAACCAGAGGCAGTGATAGCTTTTTAACATAACATTGTCTTACTTCTCCCTTGAATCTCCTTCTTTACCAATGAACTGAGAGGGACTGAAATCATCTGGGCATTTCTGAGCAAGATGTCAGCTTTCTGAGTACTTGGAAGTTTCCTCACATCTTATTAGTTTATTTAGTCATAAAGATTCTTTAAGATAAAAACCAAACACAGTCAAGTGTATGTGACAGATGTTTCTGAGATTTGGGCAAGAGGCACAGGCAGGAGGGGAAGTTGTCAGTCAAAGGCAGCCTCATGTTTACTGCTGAGTTTTCCTGTTTTTCAGTCTTTGCATAAGGAAAGAGGTACCCTTCCTGCATGAGGGAGGCATGTCTTTGTTCTGTGACAGCTGCTGCGCCTCTTCTTTGAAGTTATTCTGTTTGGCATGAAAGATGTACAGTAATATCTGAAGTCTAATTCTGTCCAGGGAAGAAGTTCAAATTGAAGAGTAATTTTTTTTTAACTGTAAAGGAAACTAGTATTTATGGAACACCTACCAAGTACAAGAGAGTGTCACCTGTTATTTCGTTTAGTTCTATTCATTGCAGCCTTTTACAGACAAGAAAAAGAGACACACAGCTAGTAAGTGGCAGGTCTAAGTTCAATTCAAGTGTACAGATTCTACTTGTTTCTTGGAAGCACTTATTTGGTTTGCCCTCAGGGTTTACATAGTCTTTCTTTATGATACTGATTTTTCTATTTGGCAATATACATAACATAAACTTAACCATTTTAGCTGTTTCTGAGTATATATTTCTGTGGCATTAAGTGCTTTCACATTGCTCTGCAACCGTCGCCACCACTGTCTCCAGAATGTTTTCATCTTTCCAAACTAAACTCTGTACCCACTAAACAATAACTCTCCATTCTCCTCTCCCTCCAGCCCCTGATAAACTCTGTCTACCTCCTGTCTCTTGGCATTTGGCTATTATAGGTACCACATATTAGTGGAATCATACAATACTTGTCCTTTTGTATCTGGCTTATTTTACTTAGTAGAATGCCCTCAAGCTTCATCCATGTTTTAGTTTGTATCAGGGCTTCATTCATTTCTTCTTTTGAGATAGGGTCTCACTCTATTGCCAAGGCTGGAGTGGAGTGGTGTGATCACAGCTCACTGGAGCCTTGACCTCCCAGGCCCAAGTGATCCTCCTGTCTCCTCAGCCTCCTGAGTGGCTGGGACTACAGGTGTGCGCCACCATATCCAACTAATTTCTTGTTTTGTTTGTGTGTGTGTGCGTGTGTGTGTGTGTGTGTGTGTGTGTGTGTGTACACCCCATTTTGTTTATTCCTTCATCTGTCAATGGACATTTTGGTTGTTTCCATCTTTTGGCTATTGTGAATAATGGTGCTCTGTGAACATGGATGTATAAATATCTGTTCAAATCTCTACGTTCAGTGATTTGTGGTGTATATTCAGAAGTAGGAATGCTAGAGCATTAGAATGTTTTATTTTGAGATGGAGTCTCACTCTGTCACCCAGCATGGACTGTGGAGTGTGGTAGTGTAATCTTTGCTCACTGCAACCTCTGCCTCCTGGGTTCAAGTGATTGTCGTGCCTCAGCCTGTTTTCAGTAGAAACACGGTTTTACCATGTTCTTGAACTGGTAAAACCCTGCTGTTCTTGAACTCCTGACTTCAAGTGATCTGCCTACCTTGGCCTCTCAAAGTGCTAGGATTACAGGCGTAAACCACCACACCCAGCCTAGAATGTTTTTAAAAAATATATATAAATGTTAACTGAAACTACTATACTCTCAAATACATTTTACAATTTTTAGAAAATGCATTTCCTATCCAAGTTACCAGCTTTCTCATTTCTCTGGGTAATACCAGCTTTCTTCCAGTTTTGCAAGCTTGAGATCATGATGTCACCTTGAACAATTTACCAGTGTCCTTCTCCTATAGTTAGTCTGTGATACGGACAGACCATTGTTTGTTTCTTCAAAGCATCCTCAAGATTGGGCTCTTTTCATTAACTCTGTCGTAACCTCAGCCCAAGTTTAATCACTGTGAATCACTCCAACAGCTGCCTGATAATAGCTCCATGTTCCAGACTGTTTCCTACCAAACCTCCAATATTGTTGTCAGAATAATTTTCCTAAACACCTGTTTCCTCATGTCACCCCATGCTCAAGAATCTACAGTGGCATTAAGTTCAGGGTAGTAAATTAATTGATTCTTTGTCATGTGTGCAACATTATTTTACACGTCTTCCTTGCCTTCTCTACTCCTAGGGTTCTCCTCGATGTTAGTCTTATAAGCCAAGCTATTTCCCCAATCTATGCCATTGTTTTCTACTCACCTAATCTCACAAAACCATTTCCTGTTGCTCTTCAAAACATATAGGATATCCATTTATTTCCTACATTTATTAGTTTTGCTTCCCCCTAACCACATGCTAAGCTTCTTGAGTATTGGATCTTTGTTCCTTACTTTTTGTGAGAATCCTGTGATTCTGGACAGATATGTGCTTGCTGGCTCATGAAATAAAACAAAGTAACAGGAAGACCCAAATTGCAAAAGATTCCAACAGATTTTATCGGAGCCCTTAGGAAGAAACTCCTTTACACCCAGGAAGAAATCTCTTGTAGTGGTTGTTAAATACTAGAATAGAAAGAATTCAGCTTAAATAGTTCCTTATGCATCTTTTGCATTGTGGTGTACAAACTCAGGCCAGTGAATTTTCAAGGCAAAATGTTACCCAGGTGAGTCTGTTTCTCATTTTAAATAATTCTCAAAATATGTGAAATACTTAATAAATGTTCCCGCTCTTCTCCTAAGCATTCTGATTACATGAAAACCTAGAAACACAGCATTCTAAGAAATTTGAAATGTTCTTACTACTATTAAGTTTGGGAGCTTTTCTTAAAGTAACTTTTTAGTCCAGTTAATAAAAAGATTTTTTTTCCTTGAGAAGGGCTTAGGAGGAAGAGTTTTACAACCTATAATAATTTCATAAATGGATAATTTGACATTAAGTTGGGAATACAAATCATTTTTCTGTAAGCATACATGACATCCAGAAAGTTAACCCCAGAATCTGGCATGTCCTTTTCTTGCATTAGGACATTGGTGTTAGAATCACAACATTGACCAATTCAAGTTTAAGAACAGAATATGTCACAGAAGGTCAGATAAGTGAGAGCTACAAAAACTCAGAGAGATAGTGAGAGAGAAGTGGGTGGAGAGAAAGCAGTAGGGAAAGAGACAGGGTGGGAGAATAGCACTGGAAGAATATTCTAATGATATTTTAGGCCATAGGAATATTGTGAAATTTTATAGATAAATACATCAATTAAAGGCAACCAGAATTTTTTGGTTCTGAATTCTGAAAAAATAAAATCAAGCAGCCAAATTAGCTCATTTCCATCTCCTACTTACAGACATTATATTTAGATAGACTTTTTCACAAATAAATACCAAATATGGAGTTAACATGACTGAGTTAATTTCTAATTTCTGTTCTCTTCTCTTTCACTGCTCTTAGATGAGTCAAATAAGCTCTCAGGTCCTTTACTTTAAACTGATATTCTTCTAAATCCTGTTAATGCAATCTGTAAGAGAGACATTAACAATGTGTTTTGGGGACTCCTGATAGTAAACGGCTGTTCTAGCCACTACTGCAGTTATGAAAGTTAAAATTTAAAAATATCCACCATTGTACCAACATTCAATTAACAATGCTCTATCACTTTTAGCACCAGAGGGCTTTGAATAAACTATTGTTGTGGCTTGGTTGATAGACAGCTTGTCAGGAAATGATCAGTATTGGCCATGATTTAGGGCTAATTTCATGGATGTTTTCCAGTTTCCGCGATCTTCCTTTCTCCTCTTCCAAACAAAAGTGCTTCTGAAAATTTCTGTTTAACATCTTTCACTTTGAATAAAGAAAACACAAAACATTCCCCTTGCAGCTGGTATTGGTGAAATTACTTCTCTGGAAAGACCAGCAGATGAGGGTCTTGTTTGAGAGGCACCAGGCAGAGGTTTCATTCTGTATCAGAGACCACACTCAGAACTGCAACCTGAGATCTGTCTCTCCTCTCTCCCCACTGCCCTTCACCTACCTACACACACATACACCATCTAAATGAACACAGATGGCTGGCACCCAGAGCAGGCATCTAGGAAAACAGCCGCGGGCCTCTCTGTTTGCTGTCCTTTCATTATACAAACAGAGAGCCTTTGAGATGCTGGTGTTGTTTCTTAATCTGAAATCATTCTTGTTTGGAAGTTTACTCACTTCCTGTTGAGAAATACAGGCAAAGCATCAGAAAGATACTCAGAGCTCGATTTGACTGAAACCAAACATTCCTTTTAACCCGTTAGATAGTTAAAATCATAGTCATAGTACATGTATGGTATACTAAGTCATGTAGAGTATTATATTTAATGAAAGCCATATATTGATAAAATCTATATCAATTCCTACCTCACAATACATGTTTTTCCTTCAGAACTGCATAGCATCATCTGATGTATTTGTTTCTCTGTGTGAAATAATTTTTTGCCAAATGTAATATAAAAGAGTGTAAAGCCAAACTTCACAAATGCTGAAAAATAACCTAAATCTTTATACCTCCGCTGAATCAAATGGAACATATGTTTTCTCCTATTTATTTCTGTATAAAATATGTAAACAATTACCTGCATTTGGAGGACATAATTATGAAGAGGTTGATATCTGAAAGGTTATTGCTGATTTATAGAGCCCTCTAGTTTAATAGAAGACAGATTTGGGAATAAGAAAAAAAAAATACTGCTTTCTCCAGGAACAATAAATGTCTCAAAGGGGAAATGTAAGATTTAAGAGTAATTTTTATTAGACATATATACTACAGTTTGTGAATCTAGGAGGTATTTCTCATTTGAATGACTTTATGTAATAAAAATTTTGTTGAGCTATCTCACACTTTGTAGTATATTTTATATATGTCAAAATGCAGTGATTAAATTCCATCTCAAGGGCAATCTTTTAAGTCTGAATTCCTCAATTTCCCTTCATGGATTTATAATCCTCAGCCTGAAGATTAAGTACTATATTAACAAGTATAAAATATTTATTAGAGCAAGAAATTGAGCTTAATTCTCCCTGTTTTATGCATATTCTTTCTGTGCATCCTAAACACACATGTACACATGCACACACACACACACACACACACACACTCTCATACAAAAACACACTTTTGACAGATTCATCTAATGTTGAACAATGTAATAATGTTTAATATCAGTATAATGCTGTATAATAAAAATTAAACCTTGCACGGGAAGGATCTCAATACTTCAGCTTCATAGGTTTGTTAAATTACAGTTGCAATGTATTTATGTAAGAGTAATCTAATTTTCAATATTCAGAGGATTGCATGCCTCAGAAAAAAAAAACAAAAAAAGAAAATCAATTTTTTTTTCTTTTAGGGAAAATTTTAATTTACCAAGTCATTCACAAAGGCCTTAATCATATCTTTAACAGGATTTCAAATTATACAAAAGCTCCCTAATTTGTGACTTTTCATAAAGATTGGCCCAGTGTTAAGAATTCAAAAGCTAAATGTTTTCAGAAGTGAAAAGGAAAATTGTGCATGCTTAAATTGATACATGTATTTAATAACATCCTATAATCACATACATTAACCTGTACAGTCTGTAATGCATCACATTTGCTGCTCCTTTTACTCTGACTTACAGTTGAGGACTGCTTTATACCTAAGACTGGCTTTCAGATATAATAATAGCCAAAGACTTCAACTTCTGGCTAAGATGGAATAATGTGGACTGGATTTACCCTCCCACCTGAGCAACTAGAAAACTGGACAAAAAATGTGAAATGGCAGGCCGGGCGCGGTGGCTCAAGCCTGTAATCCCAGCACTTTGGGAGGCCGAGGTGGGTGGATCACGAGGTCACGAGATCGAGACCATCCTGGTCAACATGGTGAAACCCCGTCTGTACTAAAAATACAAAAAAATTAGCTGGGCATGGTGGTGCGTGCCTGTAATCCCAGCTACTCAGGAGGCTGAGGCAGCAGAATTGCCTGAACCCAGGAGGCGGAGGTTGCGGTGAGCCGAGATCGCGCCATTGCACTCCAGCCTGGGCAACAAGAGCGAAACTCCGTCTTAAAAAAAAAAAAAAAAAAATGTGAAATGGCAATTTTTAGACATTGGACAGCAGGGAGCACAGAACTCTTATCCTTGAGAGAAGAGAAGCAAACAAGGTGAGTCCCATGATTGCACCAGTTCAATGACCAAAGTGTTTTCAGGCTGAACTCAGGGAGGGGCAATATAGTGGTGGTGTTCTGGCTGAATGAAGGAAACAGAATTGGTGTTCAGAGAGGCCAAGACACCTGGTATTTATAGAAAAGGGTATTAGAGAGGGTGGGTGCTAATATTTAAGTTTGTGTTCCCAATAGGGTGGAAAGAACTCATAACACAGGTGTCATCAGGTAGAATCCCCTGTTGGTATTGCCTCAGCAAGGGGCTAAATGAGCTGTGGCTCAAAGCCTCTCTGAGTTCACCCTAACAAAGTTTAAAAGCAAGCTTTGAAAAGACCCAATCTATTCCAAGTAACTTAATTGCATGGCAGATCAAAATCCAATACTAATTAAAGGAATACTGCGACATCCAGTGATCAATGACAAAAGTTATGATGTAATACAAGTTTACTAGTTGGGCAAAAAAAATAAATAAATAGAAGTTTACCAGTTGTGCAAAAAAGCAAGTTATGAACCCTAACTAGAAGAAAATCAGTTGGTAAAAAGACTGGGAAATGACAAAGATGAGGGAACTAACAGACGAGGACTTCAAACGCTTATTGTATTCTCTATGTACTAAAAAATTTAGAGAAAATCCCAAGCGTGATGAAGAGAGAAATAGAAACTATGAAAAGAATCCAATAGAACTTTTAGAGATGAAAATTACAACATCTGTAATGAAGAGTAGTAACAGGTACAATTTCATGAACAAGGTGCCAGGCCCTGCGCTGAGTGTTTTATGTGTGGTATCTCATTTAACTACAGACTTTCTCCTATAAAGCAGGTGTTAAATACGAGTATGCCAAGGATTAGAAAAGATCAATAATTGTACATTGTAGAGCTGAAACTTGAAATCACATGGCCTGTCTTCTAGGCTTATGCTTTTAAGCAACATTCCTATTGTTTATAGCAATGTTTGTGATAAAATATAATTTTGTCTAAAGAACGAACCTATGTTTATTGAAATTCCTAGAGAATCGCACTAAAGATAACTGTTTTGTGTTTGTCTGTAAGTGTGCACACACATGCATTTGTATACGATGTTGGTTTAGATTTGCTAGAGATCAGATACGTTTTCCTGAGAGTCTTATAAGGTATGAGATGGAGAATGATTGAACTTATTTATATTCTGCTGTTTTCTCAGGAAGATATGATAGAGATGAATTGAGGGAAACTTGCAACTTAATGGTAGAACAAAACAATGTAAGATTGTTCACAGCTTCTTTTTCTTGTTGTTAAAGTATTCTGCAACTGATACCTCAAGTTTGCCAATAATAATATAATAAAGAATATAACATTAGCTAAAGTTTATCAAATGATTGTTGTGTGTCCTGCTCTGCTTACATACATATATTACCACATTTAATTCTTTGAGGTAACTTCTATTCTTATTTATAGAGTTGAAGAGCAGAGAGATGTTACCTGACTTGTCCAGGTAACCCTGTAGCCTTGACAAGGTTACACAAGCAAAGGTCATACAAAGTATTTCTTGTAGAGAATTATTCTTGAAGATGAATTTAATAATAGTTTATGTCCCATTATAATATTTCTGTTCAAGATATTTATTTTAATAGTTTTCCTATGAAATCATTTTATATAAAGATTATTTAATAGACTGGCCTTAACTATAATAGATACTATCCAACTGATAAATTATGAAAGCATATAGATTTTTCAAACATCAAAATGTCTTAATACTCTGGTATGAATACATCAATGAAGTAATCATATTTATTCTCAAAAGTACCTTAAGTTAAATGATGGGTACATCCTAAGATTAAAATATTTCAGCTTCATAATTTTTGAAGTCCCCAGTTAGGTTAAGAAATTTCTGTTCCTGAATAGTGCCTACATGCCTAACTCAGCCTAATGTCCTTATACTAACACTATTAAACAACTACAGTATTTGTCACTTTTTCATTCCCTGCAAGGCTAGAAAGTTCACTTGAGTGACCATGTCAGGTCACAGAATAAGTCATTACTAAAATTGAGACTGAGACTCTCACAAGTAGATTCTTGCTCTAACACTCCATCACTTTATAAGAGCTACTTTTCACTCACAGAAAGTGAGTAGCCCTGTGCCGGGTGGCAGTTGGCTGAATGTGATTCACAGTGGGCAGGAGGGAATTGTGTAGGGGTTCCTATGTGCCTTGAACAAAGTGTGTCAATTTTATTTCAACCAGCAGTTACCAAATGTGATGCTGTGCACATTCTGAGTTTAAGATGGAACTGCTAAGTTCCGATGCTATCCTAATTGTCCAAGCCAGGTGTCTATTTAACAAGTAAACAAACAAGTCAGTTGTGCCTATTTTAGTTCCAACTCCATCATGGAAAATCAGTCACATGAGGAGTCAGTAGGCATGAGTAGTCACATGAGTAGTCAGTGGAAAAACAACCACTGGATATGATTGTGGCATTCACTTGCAGGCTAGATATCTTGCTGTTGAGTAGACCAGAAACCAGTTCCTACAATTTGATTTCATGGGCTAGATTTTTTTTTTTTTTAATTGGAGACCAACATAGATCAAATAAAATAAAAACAAAAGAACAAATCACCATCAGATATCACCATCAACACATATTTTGTTTAACATCAAATAATTCATAAGGGAATAATCTTTTGTCTTATGAGAATAAAGCATAGTTACTTAAATTGAATAGATTTAGCTTTGTGAAAGAAAATTCATTTTATTTTCCCTGTTCTTCTGATTTTTACATGAACCATGAAAAACCCTGTCAGTCTGGCACCCCTTTGCAAATAGGAGTTTAAAAACCCTTTCCATGGATAAATTTTGGTATCTATGACATAAACAGCACTGGACTAGAAAAAGAGAGATGCAGCCACACACCCAGGGCAGTCCTGAGAATGCAGTGTCCGCAAAGTGGGCACTGGCCTGCTGATCAGGCCTTGGTCTCTGGTGGCTACACTGAAGATAGGTGGCTCTCAGGGCCAAGTGGGTCCTCTTTAGATATGAAAAACAGCAACATGTGGAAATGCTGATTTCACTACTTACTACTTGTGTTTTTTATGAGGTCAAATGTTAGAGAAATATGTCTCACGAATGTAACAACCAAATGATCAAGCCTATATGAACTTCACTCAGGCCAGTGGTCATACATCTTTTTTGGATCACAAATCACTTTGAGAAACAGATGAAAGCTATGAACTTTCCTCCCAGAAAACTGCACATATGTGTCCACCTATGAATATTTTGTGCATATTTCAGGGGGACCTCCAAACCCTGTAAATGGATTTCAGTTTCGATATCTCAGCTTTAGTGCATGAAGGGATTTGAAGTCTTCACCACTGCTATTCCAACTTATTTGTGCTTCCTTATACTGCTTTAGTTTCTACTTAATTCTCAGAAAGCCCTTCATGATTATCTTTGCTGCAGCTTTTTCTTGCGTGTTCCTAGAATGGAAGTTAAATTTTCATCTTGGCTCCTATATTTCACTCCTTCCAGCTCCCTGCCAGGCCTGGACTACATTTGGCTGTGGTCCTGAAAACCTTTCTACTCTTACCATTTTTCCCTCAAAATCTGGATCTTGTTCTTCCTCCTTTTGCCACAGGTTTATATCCAGCTACAACTGGATTGTGTGAAAAGAAGTCTCCCTCTTATAATGAAATCCCAAAGAACCAAGATGTTACCATCAGTTGACCTTTATATATTACTGTGGCCTAAAGACTGTTGTGGTTCTTCTGCCCTGAGATCAGACTTCTTGAATGTCATTGCAAGCTGGAATCAGACCTAAGGTCACTCTTACCCCTGTGCACAGTCTAAGTTTAAGTAATGGCCAAGATTCCCATTTACTGGGTAGAGCTAGTCTGTCCCCTCTAGTCCTGACTTATTCTTTTCTCCATCCTGCCTTGCCACAGCAGATAGTATGTCTGAAAGTTATGACAACATCCGGAGTTGATGTTAAGTGCACTTCTCTATATGGAAAGAAATGGTCAAGGTAGGTCTTAAAATGTTTTCTCACTGACTTTTAGTAATATTAACTCCTACTTAGCAGGGAGTAGGTCCGAGCAACAAATAATTGGCTAGCCTTCTTCAACTCTCCGATTTAGGGCATCATAGTAGTTTATAGACCTTTCTCTCTCTCTCTCTCTCTCTCTCTCTCTCTCTCTCTCTCTCTCTCACACACACACACACACACACACACACACAATCTTTTTTGATTAATCATTAGCTTGAGGCTAATAAAGATTATTCCGCAAAGTTTTTGAATTCAGTGATGATAAGTACATCTCTCAATGTTAGAAAAGATTAGAAACTATCCAAATGTGGTAGACATCAAGCTGCCATTGAGCACAATGAACTATTTTAACTAAAATTTATTGGATGTTTAGTAAGTACATAATAGCTCAGTAAACTTGTTATCATTATCATGTGTGCCAAATGTACTAAGTGCTTTATGTGAATTATTTATTTTTTTTGATAATTTCCACTTCTATTTTAGATTCAGGGGAATGAATTGTACCCCAAACCTCGTCATTATGCAAACGTGTGCAGGTTTGCATAATGCTGAGGTTTTGGGTACAATTAATCCCATCACACAGATACTGAATGTAGTACCCAAAAGATAGTTTTTCAATTCTGACCGTCCCCCTCCCTCCCACTCCTTGTAGTCCAAAGTGTCTATTGTTATAACCCATCTTTATATCCATGAGTACCCAATGTTTAGCTCCCACTTACAAGTGAGAACATGTGGAATTAGGTTTTCCATTCTAGTGTCAATTCACTTAGGATAATGGCCTCCAGCTGCATTCATGTTGCTGCAAAGGACAAAATCTCATTCTTTTTAATGGCTGCATAGTATTTCATGACGTACATTTACCATATTTTCTTTATCCAACACTATGTGGGCCATTTTATTTAATTTTCAAAAACGACCTCTGAGGCGGGTACTATTATCTCCTGTTTAAAGTAAGCTTAGAGCGGTTAACCTGCTTAGGATCATTGGTAAAGCCATAAATCAAATCTTGATTCTAGGTTCTAGGCTCTATACCATTATAGTATATGACATCTTTATCACACAGAAAATTTTCCTTGAAATATCCTCTCAAAGTAAATGGAGATCTTTAATAAGGCTTTTGTTCACTTGTTGTGGTTAGGTAATGGCAGTCTGGAATACTGGTAAAGACTGCAGATCCTGGAGTGAGTCAGACTAGGTTTGATTCCAGGCTGTGCCACTTACCAGCTAGAAGACTTAGAGCATATTAGTTTGATTCTCTGTGCCTCAGTTTTCTGTTTGTAAAAATGAATCATGATACCGATCTCAGAGGCTTACAAGAATTAATATATGTAAAATGTTTATAATACTCCCTGATTTACAGTAAATGTTCAAAAATACAAGCTACTATAATTTGGGTTATGTTAAAATAGCCTAATACATCTTCCATTCCTTTATTTTCTGATGAAAGAGTAAATTCTAGAACAGAAAACCTCTAGCCAACAATTTCATGCTCACATTCACTGATAGGCGGTAGTAGTTTATTCAACACGTTTGAGTTCCTTCTGTATGTAAGGCATTGTGGTTGGGACTGGTCATCTTGTTCTGAGGTAGGGGTCAAATGAGGTTTTGAGTACAATTAATCCCATCACCCAGGTACTGAAAGTAGTGGATGAGTTATGTAACTTCACCATAAGAGGTATTGTATCACAGGTGATTTATTCGGTTTCATTCTGAGAAATGGCTTGGATCTCTCTCGGTTTCTCTAGAGGCCTCTCCATTTATCAGGCCATTTTAAGACCCAGCAGTGCTGATTCCCTTAAATAATGATTCGCAAGGTCTTCTAACACCCAAGCATTGATTAAATGATGCATAAAATAACCCTGGATGGTCAGCAATAGAATACACTGGCCATTATTTCTCTACTAGAAGCATAAGCTTATCTTTAGAAATGCAGGGTCTCCAAAATGGCTATGATCAGCTCAGTTGTTAAAAATATGCCTATTTAGTGAGTTGTTAAACTCTTTGATCCCCATTATAACCTTGAAGGACCTATCAATCTATATGCTGCTCTGTTTTATACTTATTGTTATTCTTCAACAATGAGTGTTTGGCACCTGAGAGCTCTGGAACTCTGTGTCTATTTGAATATAATAGCTCAGGCTTGAAAGTAAAAACCTGCTTTCTATTCTGAAAGCCTCCTCTTGCTGGCTGCCCACGTCACTACTGCCACTCTTTTCCTAGCAGGCAAAAAGCCCTGATTACCTTTTGTACAAGAAAAAGGATTAGTCTAGGAAAACTCACCACTTTTGTTTTCATCTTGGAGACTGCATATCATGAGTTGCATAAATCACTGAGATGAATAAATCATTGAGAGAGGCTAGTCAATGTCCCTGGAAGTTTCTATTTCATCTTCTGTTAGATATCTTGTGTGCTGAAATAACACAGGGTTTTCTAAACCTTAGCCTCATTTTTTTTTTTTCAGCATCAGAAGGACCCTTAATGACGGTGCCTTTATGAAGCATTAGAAAATTCCAGGACCAATGGATATTCTGAACAGAAAGTACTAACTTCTAAACTGAGGATTGCTGCTGTTACAGCTGCATGAGCACTGACAATAGTTGGTAAAGTGCATAGGGTCGGGGTTCACCACGACCTTTTCTTCAGCTAGAAGAGTAAGGGATGACTGACCACAGATACAACCCAGATACCATGGCACTGTCCGAGTATCCAATTCACAGAGATCCTGCAGTGCTCACAGCTGCTCACTTCCTATTGGGTTGGCCATGGAACCCATGGGTATATATTCTTTCTGTTTTCATTTCTCTGCTTCAGGTAGTAGTTCTTAAAACTTCAGGAGGAAAGGATTCCCTTCAAGAGTCTGATGAAGCTTTGCACTTTCTTCTTAGAAATATGCACATATGGAGAATGTCTTGAATACAAGTTTAGGGAATTTGAAGACTTTCTGAAGTCTATGTCAGCATCCCCTGGGGTCTGAACATCACAGGTATGCTGTCTGAACAAGTACAGTTCTTGGAATTTATTTTAATCGTTTGCAAATCATATCCTTTCCTAAAGTGACCCCTTTTCTTATACAGTCTGAAACTCTTGTCTTAGAAAAACTATAAGCAGAGGCTTCTAAGCAAAGCTTGGTGTCTAAATTCCTCTTTTCCACTTTATTTTTCCCCATTAGGTTTTTTCAAAAACTTTTTATTATGGAAAATTTAAAACATATAGAATAGTATAACAAATTCCCATGTGCTCATTATCAGCTTATGGCCAATTTGATTTCATTTATGTCTGTACCTGCTTCTCTCTTCATATTATTTCATCAAGTAGTTACTGAAATATAACATATGTTCTTTCCTTATTATCTTGAATCGAAACCTATATACTAATTCATTTATAAATATCTTATTTACTTAAGAACTCATGAAAATTATAAGAAAAGCTACAGTACGATGATCAAAGCTAAAAAAAATCCAACAGTTCCTCATGTGTTCACATTTCCAATGATTTCATAAATGTCATAAAGGTGTTTTAATTGTTCATTTGATTATATCAGAATTCAAGTAACGTTTACATGTTATGATTTTTTGGTAAGTTTCTGAAGGCTCTTTTAATCTATGAATTCTGTCTCCCTTTCCTTCTGCTTGTAATTTAGTCATTGAAGACACAAGGTTGTTTGTCCTACAGAATTTCCTTGAGTTGGAGTTTTGCTGGTTGCATCCCCATGGTGTAGCCTATTATATTTCTTGCATATGTTTTTCTTTTGACTGTATTTCCCATAAATTATTAGCTGGATCTAGAGCTTTCTTGGATTTAAGTTTGATTGGTTTGTGGAGGCTATTTCATCAAAATGGTAATTTGTATTTCTATCAGGAGTTTTGGGGGTTTTATTGACAGTCTTTCTCTGTTTTCCAGGCTGGAGTGCAGTGGCACCATCTCGGCTCACGGCAACCTCTCCCTCTGGGGTTGAAGCGATTCTTCTGCCTCAGACTCCCGAGTAGCTGGGATTACAGGTGCACACAACCATGCCCCGCTATTTCTTCTGTGTGTTTTTAGTGGAGACAGGATTTTACCATGTTGGCCAGGCTAGTCTTGAACTCCTGACCTCAGGTGATCCACCCGTCTTGGCATCCCAAAATGTTGGGATTGCAGGCGTGAGCCACTGCACCTAGCCCTATGAGGAGTTATCTCTATTTGTGGGATATTAGCAGCTATTGTTAATCCATTAGTTCATGAAAGATTGCAAAATAGTAATATTATAATTCTACCATCTCTTCTTTATTAGCTATAACACTTATTCCTAGAGCTATTTTCTTGCATTTCCTATTTTGTTACTGTTTTAGTCTGTTTACGCTGCTATAACAAAATATTATATACTGGGTGGATTACAAGCAACAGAAATTTATTTCTTCCATTTCTGGTGAATGGGAAGTCCAAGGTCAGAGTGTCAGCAAATTCAGTGTTTGGCAAGGGTCCACATTGTAGAAAAGAAGAGGAGTCTTTCTGTGGTCTCTTCTAAAGGCACTAATCCACACTCTTGAGGGCAGAGGCTGCTTAACATAATCACCTCACAAAGCCCTCACCTCTTAATACCATCACTTTGGGAATTAGGATTTCAACCTGTAAATTCTGGGGGACACAACCATTCAGACCATAGCAGTTACTCACTGGCATAAACTATATAGGGAAGATGGGATAAATACTTGATTCTTTCCCTTTGCTTACCTATTTGCAAAATTATGAGTTGGCTTGCATTCTTCAAAGGTGACCATGGATTTAAACATATTTGATTAGTTTTAATCCATTGAAGTTTTTATCTGAATTGATGTGCTACTTATCCTGTTTCTGGTCAGTGGGAGATTCTTTATTTTGGTTCTTGAGTCCTTTTGAAATGACCATAGACGTCTTTTGATAGTTTACTTGATAGCTATAGGACAAAATGTTCCCAGGTCATCTTGTATATTTCTTGTCACAGAATCAGCCACTTCTCCAAAGACCTCTGGTTCTTTTAAGAGGGAGATTTTATTTGGAGACATTAGTCTTACTTCTGGATGTGTTCACTGATTGGGCCAAGTCTGGATATGGGCTTTTAACATTCTAATAAATTAATTGGTAAGAATATGTTTGGAGTATTGTTTAAATGATAAGACACACCTATCTTTTCTGTGGTGTAATTCAAATATTATGGCCTTTACTTGATCATTATATATGTCAAATTTTATATGATCACATATTCTAGATGAACTATTAGAAAACTTCAAAATGTCACCTACAGAAACTCCAAAATGTAAATGTCAGAGGATGGTCCAGTCCTATAGGTTATTATAAATGCTATTATCCGGTTATGGATCCCACTTATTAAATTTATTTAATATATTTACAATATCTAGTGATGCTGTTGAGAACTGCATCTTCAACAATTCCACAAGGTCAAGCAGAGTCTACCCATTTGAGGATTTGCAATTAGATAGAAGGAATGACAAGGGAATTAGGAACTTGCACATACAATTGTTAAGAAGTGGTAAAAATATTTGATAAAAATTCAGAAACAATGTTGAATACAAAAGGCACATTTAAAAAGATATATATGGAATAAATCAATGCTTATAAATTTTAAAACACTCAACAGTATTGTATATTAGTTCAGGATGCACACAGATGCAATTAAAACTTAGAATATGAACAGGAAAGATACATAACTTTGGACTACTGGTTACCCCATAGGAAAGAGATAGGAAGAGAAAGAAATGAGATCAGGGGATGATGCCAAAAGGACTTAATTATACATGTGATACTTCATCTCATTCTTAAGAAAAAAAAAGATTAGAGGAAAAGAAAAGACAAAAGAAAAAATATGGAAGCCTCTGAATATATGAAATATAGGAAGCAGTCTGACTTATTAAACTCTGTGGTATGTGGTAAAACAATAATTTTAAGCTTTCAGCCACCTGCCTGCTCCATTGTTTAAGATAAAAAAAATATATATATATAATGTTTTCAAATGTATGTGTATGTATATATACACATATTTGAGAATTACTAAACTGCCTGAGTTTTGTAGCAGTATTCAGGTCGAGGAAACATGGGTCTCTATTTTTGTCAACAATATTTTATTGCTGTAAAAATTACTAGGTGCTCACTCTATCCTGAATCACTCAGCATATAACTACTGGAACACAAATGGAACAAAAAACACAATCCCAAACATTCTGGCCAACATAACCAGTCTCCAACCTTCTCTTTTCAGTCTCCTCACCAACATGACCTAGGAAAACATCAAGATTTATCCAGGAAAGGTGACCATACTTAGTCCTTTTCTGCCCAATGCTGGGCCTCTCCAATAATGCTCTTTCTTACTTTCTTTTTTTGGAGATGGAGTCTTGCTCTTTTGCTCAGGCTAGAGTGCAATAGTGTGATCTCGGCTCACTGCAACCTCTGCCTCCCAGGTTCAAGCAATTCTCCCTGCCTCAGCCTCCCGAGTAGCTGGGATAACAGGCACCCACCACCATGCCCAGCTAATTTTTATATTTTTAGTAGAGATTGGGTTTTGTCATATCGCCCAGGCTGGTCTTGAACTCCTGACCTAGGGTGATCCACTCGCCTTGGCCTCCCGAAGTGCTGGGATTACAGGCGTGAGCCACCGCACCTGGCCCAGTGATGCTCTAAGGGGGAAGAATGCTGTAGATGATGGCTAGGTATCCCTAGTCTTCTAGCAGTTTTAATTGTGGATTTACCTTCTCCATTCCCTACTTCCCTGTTCCTCCTGGTGAAGTTAGATGAGGCAGAAGAGTTTCCCTATGATCTGAAATCAACCTGGGCATCTCTTTGCTGAAAGTAGGGATGACAGCAACACAGAAATGCAAAGATCTCTGATTCTCAAAGAAACCACGTTTCCTTGAGAGGGCCTCTCAGAATTCTCAAAGGAAAATTTTGGTAATTACCTACTTGATAGGACAGGATACATTGAGAGCGGTTTTCAGTTCACCCAGAATCCAATCCTACAGATCCCTGGTACTCTTCCAGTTTTCTATTCTGTTTCCTAGTTTGCTTTTTGTGTTCTCTATCACACTTCACATGTTTCTCCACTTGCCTTAGTGTATTTTAGAGGAATATTTTACGGTGGGAATATTTTATGTGAAATTCAAGCTGGTTTAAATATGAAAAAGAGGGTGGTGTAGAAATGGGGTGAGTCTCTACAATCAGAAAATGAATGAAATAAAAGCAGATAGGAAAAAGAACAAGATTAGGAACAAGAGAATGAGAGGTGCTCAGGAATAGAAGAGTGAAGATTAAGGGAAAATCAATAGTCTCTCTAAGTTTTTT